ATAGATAGATAGATAGATAGATAGATAGATAGATAGATAGATAGATATAGAAGGCCCTTTACCACAGACCAAGCATCTTCAAACTTGGCAAGTTTAAGACTTGCGGACTTCAACTCCCAGAATTCCTGAGTTAATATGACTTGGAGGAGGAATTCTGAGAGTTGAAGTTCAGAAGTCTTAAAGCTGTCAAGTTTGAAGACCCCTGATATAAAGTAACAGCAACTGATGTGTATGGTTCCAAGATAACTGAACTTGTCAAAGTACTCCTGTAGTACCTGTTCAGCTGACAACTGCCAGAAATCAGAGTGTTTTCTTTAGCCCAGCTTGACGTCTTAAGTTTCAGCTGCTATTGACAACAGACGCCATAAGAATATTTCTGCCTTATCAACTCTTCTTGGATCATGTCCTTGCACTGGAAAGAAGCACCCTAAATGTTGCATGCTTTGGCTTTAACTATATTGGCACAAATGATACTGAGACTGGAAACTCTAACAATCATTGTTGAGCAGATTAACATGCTACTCATCTATGTCACAGTGAGCAAGTTTTATTAACACCAGTAAGCTGATTACTTGAATGATTGGGAGCCCTTTCGTTATTTGTACTGATTTTGCTATTGAATATAACTAATTTCTTAGTTTTGAGGGAGGGAAGCAAAGTGGCTCCCATTATCATGTAATATTCATTATTCTATTCAGAATGTAGGTAAAATATAATTGTGATAAATGGTAGTGACTTAGACACTACTTTAGAAAGGTATACGCAACATCTATCTCTAATGTCATGTCATATGAATACATATGGGGCAAAAGGAAGAACAAAAACGAATGAAATCCTTGCTATGAAATATTTACTGATGGTAACACAAATTTTGTTTTGGTCTTTACCTTTTTAATTATCTGCTCAATGTTGGAGGGCCTGTTATAATTAGGTTTTGGGGGTTTTTTTCTAGGGCTTTTGAATGTTTCCAGTTCTGTGCTTTGTAATTTTGTCTGAATCCACAAGTGATGTATGTTTTAATTAAACCTCAACTGGTTCAGAAGTTCAATATATTCTTAAAATAAAATCCACATACTAATTATCTTGTCAAATTAAAGGAAATATGACTTCATTTTGCTTAAGAAATAGTTATGAAAGTGCTTCTAGTTGCCTTGAAAATAATAAAGAATGGTTTCGAAGTACAAAAAAGAACATTTCTGCCTTTATGGGCTTCATACAAGAGAAGTTCTAGTCCATGTTTTACTAATCTTCATCCTCCTTAATCATACTTCTTCTAAAAATAGCAATAGCACAGACTTATATACCACTTTGTAGTGCTTTTACAGCACTTTGTAAGCAGCTTACCGAATCAGCGTATTACCCCAACACTCTGGGTCCTCGTTTTACTGGAAGGAGGGAAGGTTGAGTCAATCTTGAGTCAGGATCGAACTCCTGGCAGAGGGCAGAGTTAGCCTGTGGTACAGGAAGTCTTTGACTTACAACAGTTCATTTAGTGACCAAAATTAGAACAACACTGAAAATAATAACTTATGACCATTTTTCACACTTATGACCGTTGCAGCATCCCAATGGTCACCTGATTTACATCTGGGTGCTTCACAACTGACCTATATTTATTACAGTTGAATGGTCACTAAATGAACTGTTGTAAGTTGAGGACTACCTGCATTGCCTGGGATGCTACACATCTTCTCCATGGCTGGTTTTCTTTGTTCCGAAACAGAATCACTAGATTCTGTAATAGCTTTATACATATAGTATCAACCTTGTTAACTCTCAAGACTCTTTTGTCTGCTAATATTCTAAAAGGTCTGTAATTAATGTGTGTGTGTGTCTAACATAGATATATGTATGTGTATGTGCATATATAGGTATGAATATATTTTGAAAGCGAGCATCAGAATTTCATTTTTTAATGTGTGCCAGAAAAAAGTGACAACCAAGATTATCTTATGTCTATACTTTCAAAATGATTCTAATCGTTTTTTTAAATAAAAAATCCTAAATCATATCCAAATACCATAATTCCTGCATCAGTTTGACAATACCTGTTCTGACCCAAACCCTTTTCCAATAAAACAAACACAAACCAAAGGGAACAGAAACCTTTTAATGATTCTTACGAATCCCCGGTTAAAAGGCTGCTGCAAACTAATGAACTTTGATAAGCCAAATTTGTGCCAGGCTGCCAAGCATAACAGATAAGGTTACTTAGAAATATTTTACAACACAAGTCTTCAAATACCAACTAAGATACTGCAATGTCCATGAGGCTCAAGTTTCAAACCATCTTTGCTTCCTGCAAAGAAGGTCCGATTCACAGCTGGCTTTTATCTTTTTGAAGGAGGGGCCGTTACTTTGCAACCTTACTCCCCAGTCGCCCATGCTGCTGCAGCTGCTCTTTCCTGAAAGCAGCCCTGTGCGCATGCGCACTTGGCACAGGCTCCTCGGGAACCTCCTCATCGCTGCTGCCAGCCCCCACAATCTCTGAAGGCAGCAGTCCACTCCCTAATGGTCTTGCCCCCTCATCTGAGTCCTCGCTCTCCTCAGCCATCTGCACCTGCTGTCGGCTAACCACAATACCTTTTAAATCAACATCCGGGTTCTTACCTGTCAAATCTAATGTCCGGTCCACAAAAATGATAGCAGCTTTATTTTGTGCATTTTTCCTCCTGAGCTTGGCCTGGGAATAATTCGCCAGATCCCCCGCAATAATCCTGCTGAGTGATCCAACGGCGAAACATTCCTCCCGAACACTAAGGTACTCCAACAAGCTGTTGAGATCCGACACCAGCGACCGGATGGCAAGCTGCAACTCGGCAGGCAGGGAGAAGAAATCCACATCACTCAAGTGGCTGATTTTCTTCTTCTCGGGTCGCACCCTATTGAGATGCATCAAATCCTCCACCATCAAAGGGAAAAGCGCTGCAAAGGCCGGCGTCACAAAGAGGTGAGGCGAGAGGGGAGCCAGAAACAAAGCAGCATGGTGCACCTCCGCGGTGTAGTTCATGTTGCCCATCCACTGGCAAAGCTTCTCTTCGAACTGTTCGAAGACCACCGGGCCAGAGCTCTCGGCCTCAGCGCCGAGGGGCGTGTTGTAAGCTTGCAAGTGCACCGCGTGGCTGACCCCGGTGAAGACCACGCAGTACTGGAAGCGGCTGAGGCTCATGATGTCCCGGATGATGTCCAAGGTCTGGCCTTTCAAGGCGGTGCTGACCACGAAGACGGCTTTGGGTTGCTCAGCCTCCCCAGATTCAAAGCTGGAGAACTCCTTGACGTTGAGGGCGCCGGCTTGCAAGAGCGCCTCCAACCCACCACAGGCCCAGTGGAGGCTTTCTGCACAGGCCGGGTCCAGGAACACCACGGCTCGCTTCACCTTGGCAAACACCGGCTCCCAAGCTCGGCGGCAGAAAGAAGGCACCCCAGGTTGGGGTTTAGGAGGGGCGGCGGCGGACATCGCCCTGCCCAGGTATTGGGGAACCCCCTCCTTCAATGCTTGGGCAGGGGGTTGGTCTAGATGACCCCACAAGGTCCCTTCCAACTCTTGTTATTTTGTATTCTGTATAGTGGAAGCCGTCCAACCGTCTATGCCCGGGAAGCGGGCACCACCTCCGGGCTAGCAAGCCAGGCGATCAGCAGCGCAAAGATGCCCTTTGGCCTCCATGGCTTGCGCCGCCGGGGGGAACCTGGCCGAGACCAGCGATGAGAAAGAGATCCGGGATCCCGCCCCGTGTCGGGATCAAGGAAGAGATCGCAGCCTGCTGAGCCACGGCATCACCGCCATGCCCTATCTTGCAAAAGGCTTGGGCGCGGAGAGATGACGTCGTCGTGGTCGGCGCCCCGCGCGGATTGGCTGTTCAAGGGTGAGCCGAGGACGCGGCTCGGGCGTCGGAAGTTGGGAGCCCCGGAAAGTGAAGCCTTGAATTCGCGGAGAGAAGCAGGGAGTCCCCGAACTTGGCAAGTTTAAGGCTTGTGGACTTCAACTCCCAGAATTCCTCAGCTAACACGACTGCAGGAGGAATTCTGGGAGTTGAAGTCCACAAGCCTTAAAGCTGTCAAGTTTGAAGACCCCTGGTAAGAAGGATTGTGAAAAGTGGGCGGTGCGGATAGTTGTTCGGTGATGATTACATGCAGGTCGTTATTCCTTTCTCTGGTCTATTTCATGGCCTCCCCACCCCCCACCCCATTTTATCTCGTTTCACTTTAATCCTCTGCTTTCCTAATCTGAATTCATATTCTAACGGTTACCTAAAATTTTGCACAATAGATTTGAACAGAATAGAATAAATAGAATAGAATAGTGGAATAAGGAATAGACTGGACTAGAGTAGAGTAGAGTAGAGTAGAATAGAATAGAATAGAATAGAATAGTAGAATGAAGAATAGAATAGACTAGAATAAATAGAATAGACTAGAATAAATAGAACAGAATAGAATAGAATAGACTAGAATAGAATAGAATAGTGGAATGAAGAATAGAATAGAATAAATAGACTAGAATAGAATAGTGGAATGAAGAATAGAATAGAATAGAATAAATAGAATAGTGGAATGAAGAATAGAATAGACTAGAATAAATAGAATAGAATAGAATAAATAGAATAGAACAGAGAAAAAGAATGGATGGGAATAGAATAGAATAGAATTTTATTGTTACTTTGAATGTATGATTGGCATACATTAAAAATGAAATTTTGTTGCATACATTACGTGTTGTACCTTATGATTCTTGTTGAATGTATATTTTCCTTTAATATACACTGAGAGCATATACATGAAGAAAAATTCCTTGTATGTCTGATCATACTTGGCCAATAAAAAAGTCATTTGTTCATTCGTTCATTCATTCATTCATTCATACAGCTCTTATAAAGGATCACCACCTCCAATTTTACACTACATAAAAATAACAAGATCAATAAATACAAAATTATGGTATGCATATACTCACATGACACAGAGAAACAACACAGTCTAGTTTGGAAATGTACGCATTTATTGTGAGAATACAGTTAGTTCTTGATGTACAACAGTTCATTTAGTGACCCACGTTTTCTGCCTGAGAGGCTGTGCTCAAGGGAGAAAAATTGCAGGGGAATATGGATGTGCCATAATTCTGCAGGTCTCCAAATTCTGTTAATTTGTACTGGAGTCCTTTTGCTTCTGAAGCTAAATTTCGCAGTCCAGAGATCACCCTAGTTTTAATTGTGAATTAAATACTGAAGGTATGTCTCAACTTACAGCAGTTCATGTAGTGACTGCTCTAAGTTACAACGGCACTGGAAAAAAGTGATTTAGGATCATTTTTCACACTTCTGACCATTTTCACACCTATTTTTGTGACTTTGTTGCTTTTGTGCCATGTCCCGGGTCATCATAGTATCCAAATGTAAATCACATGACCCAGGACATGGCACAAAAGCAACAAAGTCACAAAAAATAAGTAAAGTCCCTTTAATACCTCAAACTTGGCCCCCAATGTCCAGTCATCCTCGGCTGGAGATCAACCTCTTCCAAAAAACAGTCTACAAAGGGAAGAAATGCAGTCCCAACCCAAAGTACAGATAGATTAGAAATAAAAAAAACAACACAAACCACGCTGAAAGAATTAACAGGCCAGGATAATGAATTGCAGACTTCCAAAAGATAATGTAGCACACAGTTAGGAGGACGCCAAAACTCAGATAAGCCTCGACAAAGATAATGCATGCTTTCTTCCAGCAAGATGCTGTGTGCAAACGCCCTTCTTATAATCCTGTTCTTCCAGCTGCAACTAATGAAAGGGATAAGGGCCCTTTTCTCTCCAGTAAGCCATGTTGCTCACTTCTCCTTTCCTCCCTGCGTGCCCTAGGATGAAGAGGGGATGGCTCTGGGTCTTCCTCTGAATGCCCAGCCGGACTTTGCCCTTCCCCCATTTCTTCCACAGCCACCAGAGCCACAATCCCACTCCCTGTCAGCTGCTCAACCTCCCCTTCAGAATCGGAGTCCAACAAGGGCATTTATGACCATTGTAGTGTCCTGGGGTCATGTGATCCCCTTTTGCGACCTTCTGACAAGCAAAAGTTAATGGGGAAACCAGATTCACTTAACAACTGTGAACTGCAGTGGTTCACTTAACAAACGTGGCAAGAGAAGTCGTAAAATGGGACAAAACTTGCGTAACAAATGTCTCAATTAGCAACATACATTTTGCGCTCAATGGTGGTCATAAGTTGCTTTCACAAGATCATGATGGTCAAGCGGTCATCACAATATCACATGATTGCTTGTGTCTGAATATGGGATTAATCGCCAGACATAATAATTGTATTATGGATTCAATATTTGCAGCATTCTCATTACTCAGTACTACAAAAGCAGGGGACCTTCATTTCTGTAAATGTGATTTTAATAGATCATTTAAATTTTTTTTAAATTATTTCATCAGTTATATTCCAGATCCAAAACACTGATTGACAAAATTGTTTTGCAATGTTACATAACAAAAATGACCCCTGGAAGTTCCAGAGTGTTAAAATATTTAAAATACATTTATAAGTTTCCCACCACCACCAGATTAGGTAACAGATGACAGATAAACAGAGTTGGAAGGGACCTTGTAGGTCATCTAGTCCAACCCCCCGCCAAGCGGGAGACCATACACTATTTCTGACAAATGGCAGTCCAATCTCTTCTTGAAAGTCTCAAGTGATGAAGCTCCCGCAACTTCCGAGGGCAACTTCTGTTCCATTGGTTGAATGTTCTCACTGTCAGAAAGTTTCTCCTTATTTCTAGGTTGAATCTCTCCTGGTTCAGTTTCCATCCATTATTCCTTGTCTGGCCTTTGGGTGCTTTAGAAAATAGCTTGACCACCTCCTCTCTGTGGCAGCCCCTCAAATGTTGGAAGACTGCTATCCTGTGTCTCCCGGTCCTTCTCTTCACTAGACTAGTCAGGCCCAGTTCCTGCAACCATTCATTGTATGTTTTAGTCTCCAGTCCCCTAATCATCCTGGTTTCTCTTCTCTGTACTTTTTCTAAAGTCTCAATATCTTTTTTATAATGTGGTGAATAAAGCTGGATGCAGTACTCTTAGGTGTGGTCTTACTAAGGCTTTATAGAGTGGTATTAGTATCTCACTTGATCTCGATTGTATCCCTCTGTTAATGCAACTTAGGATTGCATTAGCTTTTTCGGCTGCTGTTGCACACTGCTGGCTCCTATTTAGCTGGCTGTCCACTAAGACTCCAAGATCCCTCTCACAGTTCCTGCTATTGAGCTTGATTTCACCCAGTCTATATGCGTACTTTTGATTTTTCTTGCCTAAGTGTAGGACTTTACTTTTCTCTACATTGAATTTCATTTTGTTAGATACGTGGCCCACTGTTCGAATCTGTCAAGATCCATCTGGATCTTGAGCCTATCTTCTTGGGTGTTAGCTATTCCTAAAATGTAATCGTATACATCTTTATAGAACAGAAAATATTCTTACAAGTAACAAGTGCTGAATACTTACCAAGTCAAGGAGTCATGGTTTAGACAGATTGTCTGAACTGTCTGGCTGTGAGTTGTTGAAGAACAGATATGATGGTCATAGCTATGAATCATTCAGGCAAACTTCATGCTATTACAAAGCACCTATGATCAGTAATGTGTGAAGTCTGAGATAAAATGTTGCTAGCTATTTCTTAGCTATTTCTATATTTCTTAGCTATTTTCAACTGTGTGAACTTCAACTCCCAGAATTTTCAGCCATCTCCATTCTGGGAGTTGAAATCTATGTATCTGGAAATTGCCAAGATTGAGCAGCAGGGCCCCAAAAGATTGTAGCTTTTGTACTTTATTAACAGTAAAATAGTCTTTAGTAAAGATAAGCAGATTTCACATATTTTTATAAAAAGTGGTGCAAGGCTGCTAGTACAGAAATGTTTTTATTTGATCCAGGAGCCATTTCCCAAAGCTAAACTATGTTTAATGCTAGGATTTGACCTTGGATGATAAAGCAATAAAGGGAATGTAAGTATTTACAGAATGTTACTAATCCATTATAGTCTGATCATAGTCAACTGATAACACCTGGAGATCTTCCAAAGCCAAAGAATCCAGCCTTATAGGCAGACTCGAGTTCTGTTACTTTAGGGGGATAAAAAGTTTTTTTTTTTAATTTAAGCAGCGTGTAAATTTGAAGACGATGACAGGAAGAAAGAAGGAAAGAGAAGAGTGGTGGTATATGGAAAGGAGTTTCAGACTCAAATATGATAAAGGTAACATTTAAAGGGCTTAAATGGGTTGTGTCTCTTTTATGTGAAAACGAAGAAAATGTTGGTAAGGTAAATTTTTTGGTCTTATTAAAAGCATTAGAAGCTCCAAAATACCATGTTGTTGCTTCATAAATATCAAGGGAATTGTGAGTGTGGATGAGTGGAAAACTTTTGATAGGTTGTTTTAGTTAAGAAAAACCTGAAAATTCACAATATGGGTTGGAAATTTAATAAATCAAGACCGATGCACCAATTATATACCCCCAAGCATCTTTCTTGAGCGTTAGACCAAAAATCCTTGGCTTGGGGACCTGATTATCATCAGGACGCCAATGGACTTTCTTGGTTTTTTTTCTTTGAAGACGCTTCGCTTCTCATCCAAAAGAAGCTTCTTCGGCTCTGACCGGATGGTGGAGGATGGAAGGGTTTAATACTCCTCGTATTCTCCGTTTAAGTGTGCAGTAGAGAAATCCGGGTAGAGCGCCCTGGCCAAATGGAAATACATTTCCCAAAATGCCCCGCTTCAGGCTGGGCGGTGGACCGACGCACC